GATGGAAGGGRTATGCAGAGACCAAACTACTTGTGYTCCAGGCTTTCCAKGCCAGATACATCCTGAAAGTGTGAAATACACTGAATACTTAGATGCACAAATACAACAATTGCTGGTAAGATGGTTGATTAAAAAAAGAAAAACAACCAAAACTCAGCAAGAGCAGTAAGCACACTATGCTTCTTGCATAATGGCTAAGTGGYTTGAGCATTTTGTGGTAAAGAGAAAGTTGTCTCTATTCCAAGATTCTATTGCACTTATTAATCCATATTTCATCCTGTTCTTCTCTAGTCTAAAATGCAYAGGTTCTTTAGTGAATATGGACTTGAACACTGTAGCCTCATTCCCATGAACTTAAATGCTAGGCTAAAAAAMCCCTCAGATTTCTTTTCTTTACTGTTTTCCTTGGTGTAACATCCTTACAGCCGCACTGGCAAAGGTAATTTTTTTTCCCAGKGAGACCATTTTCTTGAAAAGTAAAATATCTGAAAAAGGCTGAGAGAGATCAAAAGCCATCCCCCTTCATGGGCAAATGCTGTAGCATGGTTCTGTTACACAGAAGATTGGTCTTAGACAATCTAGTGTCCATCTTCCCCAGCATTACTATGGTAAAGTAAGTATGTTCCATCAGATGATTGCCCACAGCAGAGGAGCCTGCTCTCAGTCTCTAGGACTCTCKACTGTGTAGCTTGCAGACACCCCTCCCTTTGGCAAAGTTTCTTTCCCTTCTAAGTAACTGACCCTCCCCAAGCTGCTACGAAGGCTGCCTAAGAGCTTACTGCTCTATATAGTCCTGCAATGCTCAAGTGCCCAATATTAGGCAAGATGATATCTAGTTTARGGGTACCTAAAAATACTCTTCCTGCATAGAGGGAGAAAAAAAAGAACACATATGCAGCCTGTCAAAATTGTCTGCAGGTGCTCAAAATCCTGCATGAATTCCAGATGCAATCCCAAATGATTTTCCCAGCACTGCCTACTACTGTGAACAACTCCCCACTGAACCTCAAAGCTCCTTGGGCATTTAACTATATTCACCTACACATGTTAAGAAGATCCTGTTCTGGGAAGATAGGCACTTATCTCTTGCCTCAAGTCCCAGTACAATCCAGCTTAGGAAGACAGGCATTTAAATCCCTTTTAGAAGCCTGAAAAATTAGCAGCAATCAGAATTATGTCTGTTTTTTTCCGACACAGGCCATCAGCTTTGACATAGATGCATAAGTCTGAGAAAATGACTTGAGCTAAGCACAGGAGTGCAAATGTCCATTTTACTGTTGGAGAGGGACTGATGTGTCAACATCTTACAAGACTGCCCCAACAATTGCCGCATGTTTGGGCAAAAAGCATCAACCTCTCCTACTGTGTGTGGATACAAGTTGGCTCCAGTTCTCACCCCAAGAGAAAAATACCAAGGGGAGCAAACTCACATATGTGGAAAAGATGTGTCATACACAGGAGAGGAGACAGGAAAAACAAAGCATAGTTGTTTACATACTTGTAACTCTCCACCCTGTGCCAGAGAGCATCTGGACTGCTAGGTCAACTTTGGGTTTGCTTTTGTTTTCTCTGATGCAGCCCTGTGCCTCGTGTTCCAGGCTGCACAGGCTCTCAGCTGCAACACCTACCATCCACACTACCCAACGGTTGCTGATTATGCCATTCTGCTGGGAAGTTGGAGCTCAGGGCTTAATTAGAGTCTAAAAATATCATCCACTTCCTTTCTTACAAGTTTTTGCATCTTTATGCAAAATGTGGGTGGAAGCACTGTGATCTCATTAATGTCAGTCCTGCAGTAGGGACAGAGAGGCTGGATCATGTGTTGACGGAGTGTTGGGAGTGTTTCTGATGAGTTTCCAAGAGGGTATCAGTGCTCTAGCTGCAGGCTGGCTTTGCCCACTGGCATTGTGAGGTCACTTACAGTCAGTGGAAAGAAGGAGGCACTCTTATGTGCTTCAAAGAAAGCTGTCATTTTCTGCAGGTCTTCAGAAGTGCCTCTCTCTCCGTCCTTTGCCCATACAGCAAAGCTTAGGAATTAGCTTGCTCCTTTTGTCCCTTCCAGGGTTAAGACACCTAAAATATCATTGAGATAGTAACATCTCAGCGAGGTATCTAAAGTAGACAGATGAGATTCCAGCCTGTATACTTGAGACTTTGAAGTAAATGAATGCAAGAAAAATACCCAAATGTCAGTAAGAAGATGCAGGCTGTTGAAAACCAAAGAAAAGACTATTGTTTAAAATTAGGATGTATTATAGGACAATATTTGAAAAGAATCAAACACCTACAGCCTTTTGTAATTATTTTCATTTCTCCTCCATGCCCCCCTAAGCTTTTAGAAAAAAGTTTATTATATTGTTGAAACAAATCTTCCTTATCCTTTCTGTGAAGCTGTACTCTGAAAATCATTGTAACACCCTGAGAAAAAATGATGGGTCCACTAAGACTGTAATGTTAACTCATCAGTTTTCTCTTAGTCTAATGCTTTGGAGAGCATTGCCTGAAAAAAGACCGAGGAGTATTTATTGCAGTAGTCTGAATATGCATCAATTGATTTTAATATACTAGAAAACCTGAGAAAGTATAGTTTATTTATATACAGATTGTGTAAATACACTGTAGGCAAGTTTCACAGTTTAATGTTGAAAGGGCTTTCATTAATGCTGTAGTTCTAAGAAAAGGATGTAAAGCAACATAAAAGAGTCGAGATTTGATTTTTACTGAGATAAGTTGAAAGAATAATTCACCTTTACTAAATGTTTCTTCTTTCATGTTGTTTTATGTGTTGCTCTTTCTACTGCTCCATGCATGGTTGCAAAAAATATACATTAAGAATGAATCCTTCATTGATGTGACTTCACGATGTCTATTATTTGTTTGCCTAATTCCATGAGTTAATAAAAAAGTCATCAGAGATCCATAAAATTAAATGGTTGGTTTTGTCCTGGAGCAACTACACACTACGCTTTTATTTTATGTGTACTTCTGACAGAAGACATGAAGTCAGTTCTGCTGAGCAATGTCATCTGATAATGAAAAAGTATGGTTTTAATTGCATTTTTAATTGTTTTTTAGAAAGTATGGAGTGKTTTTTTTAAAAGGCTAGGAGATTACATTTCAAATATACTTCCAGAACTTTGTACAGCTTCCCTTCATTCTCAAAGCCAAAATGTTCTTTAAAGACTTGAAATTCAATATATGGACCAACATCTCCTATTGTGTAATGACTGATTTTTGGTTTGTGTCGATACTGAGACTCATCTGATGAAAACCCACCGATTCCGTGAATGGAAACCACGGCATTAGACACTGTATTTCCTGTTGCCGAAACCTACCAGAACTGCTATGTACGGCCAGCTTTTCAGTCCCGAGTACTCGGACTAATTACTCAAACTAAGGTCGAGGATCGAAAACTGACAAGACGAAACTTTCGAGATATATCACGCGATACAATGGGTATCACTGTAAAAAAACGCATTCAGACAGATACAAAAAAACGCATATCAGACAGATACAAAATTCCAGCTCTTGATGTAAGAAGGCTCTGTAGACTGAGCTGCATTTGGAGAAATCGGTACCTGCAACTGAGACGTCGAGAGAAGTGAGCCTGAGGGATGCCCAAGGTGTCAGGGGCCGTACCCAGAGCCAGCGACGCCGTGCGAGTCCGCATCAGTCCGCATTTGTGCGAGAGAGAAGGGAAATGGTGAGACAACCCGATGAGCGCTTTCAGCCACGGGTCCTGTCACGCCGCCACCGCCTCCCCCCTCACTGCTATGTGGCGCAGGCCGCCCCTCTCCGTCTCCCCCTGCCCAAGCTCCTCCGGGGTCCCGGCGGGGGCCCAGTCCCCTGCGCCGTCCTTTCCGCTGCCGCCGCCGCCGAGGCCGGTCCGCCCGCCGCCGCCCCTTCCCTTCCCTTCCCTTCCCCCGCCACCGCACATGCCCAGAAGGGCGGGAGCCGCGGCGAGCCCGGGCGCTGCTGTGACAGCGGCGGCGCTTTCCCTTCCGTGGGTGGGTGGGGGCCGCGCCGCGCCCCCCGGCCCGGCCTGGCCCGGCGGAAACACCGCGCCGGCCGCCTGCTCGCCCAGTGCCTTCTCCGCCGCGCCTCGAGCCCGCTGCCGCCGCGGGGCGGGAGGCGGCCATGTCGCTATTGTCTGCGCTGGTGCCCTTGCTCCGGGTGTACTGCATCGGCCTCCGCGTCATCCTGCACCAGCTGCGCCGCCGCTTCCAGCCGCGCTGCCCCCCGGCCTCAGGTGAGCACCGCAGCCGGCACCGCGGGGCGGGGCGGGGCGGCTCCGGGCTGGGGGCGGCAGCCCCCGCCGCCGAGAGGGGAAAGTTTGCCGCGCTTCCCCCCACTCGCTAAGGGCAGGCGGCGGTGCTGGGGCCCTGGGGCCGAGACGGCGCGGCCCAGGCGGGAGCGGCGGGACAGTGAAGGGAAGGACAGGGCATGGAAGGACAGGGCAAGGCARGGCAGGGCAGGTGCGACCTTGGCTGTAGCGCGGGGCGCTTGAGCCGGGCCGCATCCCTCGCACCGGGGCAGGGGCTGAGGCTCCGCGGCGGCCTCAGCACGGGCGCCGCCGAGCTCCTCCCCTGCTCCCCTTCGCCGGCCGAGCAGGATCCGCCGCGCCGCCCCAGGGCAGCGGCCCCGGGGGGATGCGACTGGCGGGGCGCCCTCCCCGCCCCCGCCGCGCCCCGCCCTCGCTGCCGGCGCCGGGCCCCGGCCCCAGGGCCGCGGCCGCCCCGGACTCGGGGCGGGGCGRGGGCYGGGCCCAGGACGGGCGCCTGGCTGCACGCTGGCCTGACTCTGGCCTCGGGAAGCGGCGTGGGGGCTCTGCACGCCGGGGGTCCCCGCTTCTCCTCTTCCTCGCTTTGGTTCTCTGACAGTGTCTCCTGAGACCTCGGCTCAGAGCCGCGCGGGCGCTCCCTCCCTCAGCCCAGGTAGGTGCTTGGAAGGCGGGTAGCGGCGGGCAGCCTCCCCCGGCCCGGGCTCTCCTGCCGCCCGCCGTGCCCCCACCCCGCCGGGGCGGCTGGGACCGCCGGCCTCGTCCTCCCTGTCCCGGCTGCACCAGGAGGGGAACGTACCTGTGCTCCAAAAGCTTAGTCTTTAATACTGGCTGTCACTCTGATAGCSTTAAAGCTGACAAGTGAAAGACACTTGTAGTTTTTTCTAAGGAACTTCAGGCTAGTCGTTGGTTCTGGAAGACAGATTTTTGCACTTTTCTGATTTAGATCAACAGCATCTTAAATGCTGACTTAGAGGAAACTTTTGAGTTAGTCAGAAAAACAGCTATCTGAATTTCCTTTTTCCTCTCATAACTCTTGAAGACTCTAAAATGCTCCTGAGTGTGTAAACGTAGAGCAAACTATGAGTTCGGACAAATGCGTAGGTTATCATCAGAGTTGAGCATACAGCTAGATTGAATTCCATCCTTTCACTTTCTCTGCTTATCAGCAAATGAGCCTTTGTGGCCCTGTCGATAGTGTTAACCAGAGGAACACTAAAAAAAAGTAATATTGAGAGTTTCAGTAAGGAATTCAGGCAGATGAGGATATTGATACAGAAAATATCTGAAGTACTGCGGAGGAGATGGAGCGTACACCCCACAATAGGAATGTATTTGTCCATCTTATCACACATGGCATCCTTCTTGGTTAGCATTCTGTCTACTTTTTATTCATTCCTTATTCTTCTGCTGGGATTCCCTTTCTCTCTCAAAAGGCAGCGATGAAACCTCAAACAAGCAAGAGGACCCTGGTGACAAAAAGGGCAGATGTGCATATGGTTTGAAGTCATCTGAGCATTTTTTTAGCATTAGTGTTTCTTGGCAGAGGAAATTTGGGTATTTTGTCTAGGGTGTGTAACACTTTCCAAATCTTTTTTTGAACCACAGAGATGCAGCATGACGAAAATGTGACCCAGCGTTTTGTTGCAGTCTGCTCTTTGCTGCTATTGAAAATAAAAAGTATTGAATTTGGAAATGCCAGAGGAAGGCAGTGAAGATCCAACCTGGGAAATGTCAGTTGCCTGAGTGGGCCCAAGGCAGATTTGACAGATGTGAAAAGTTTTCTTTGAGCCCTAACTTGGGATGTTTTTTTTCCCGAGGACAGTTGGTTTCTTCCTGCGCTAGTTGTTTGCACGCAGTTCCCTCTTGGCAGTTACCTGCTGCCTTGCTTTGACTCGCTGTGTCCAGCCATTGCTTAAAGAAGTGATTCACCTTAACAACTGGAACCTTTTTACCCAGATGAACCTCGTTTCCATAATAACATCAAAATAGTGATGTCAGTGCAACAAAAAGCAAAAGTGTTGTTAGAACAAGCTTGGATAAGTAAACTACAGTTCCTGTAAGAAAATCCTGAGTTCCTTTTTCAGACAGTAATCTAGAAAGGTGTGTATGTTCAAAATTTTCTGTATCTTTTTAAAGGGGTTTCTGTAACTCTGACAAATACAGGTATTTTGTTGTCAGGGTGCCTTCCTGGGTAGAGCTTGGAGYGGCAAAGTAGGTTTGGGAAGGACAGGACAGGGAGGCAGAGACAGCCATTCCTCTGATTCTGGCTTCCTTGGCTCCAGTTTCCATGTCAGAGTTCCCACTCTCTGTAGCAGCGGTGCAGATCTCACTTTGAAGATTTAAAACAGAGAGATGCCTGCTGGCTTGTTCTTTATCTCTGTAGATGAGTGAAGGGGTCTGGTCTCAGTGYAGCGCTTCTGTATTTTTCAAGAAAAGCTTGCTTTCTTATCCTTTTATGAAGAAGTGCTGAGGATTTTAACCTAAGTAAACTGAGCTAGTTTCACTTTAGTTTTCATTTTCTTTACCTTAAAAGTTGCATGCTCTAGGTGCATGTGCTTTCGTACGGCTTTTAAAAGTGACCATGTGTTCCACTGGAGTTTACCTGATTTTTATAGATGGGATTCAAGACAGTTTTTTGGGGAGAAAGTTTGAGATCTGAAATCTAGATTCAGTGTGAAAACATGGTAATTGTTTTGAGTTGCAAACCAAAAAGATAATAATATTCCATGTTTAAGAGAGTGTCTTCCGCCTCAACACAGTGCAGGGAAGTTGCCCTGAAATTCTGATCTTGGGACTCAGTGAAGGGAAATACAGAGCTGGGACTATAAACAGGGTGTGTAGTCAGCAATTGCTTCTCTAACTAAAATCTACACAGAGGAAAGTGCAGAAATAAAGGGGAACTTTAACTTACTTTGAAACATTTTTCCGAGTACTAAATTGCATTAACAGTGTAACTGCCTATATCTAGTGTTAGTRTTCAGTGGTTTAAACTATTAATAGTTTCATTAGAAATTACTGCTTGGACTTCTTCACAGTGCTTCATCTTAATTGGAGGGAAGAAAAAAGCCCTACATGACTAAAGTTCTTGATTAAAACAGTTTTCTAAAACACAAATCTAATCAGTGGATTGATAAAACATAAACTAATATTAATTGTGACACCAGGATGTTACCAGTGGACATGTGATCACTGAAAGTCATCCTACTGATAAGAAAAGTGGYTCATATAATTAGAAGCTTCTCAGGAAATTTATTTGGCATCATCATCCTTCATTTTTTCTTCTACTGTACATATCATTGAAATTTGGTTAGGGAAACCTAAATGTTGGATGTTTTGTAGTAGTTTTGAACTCTTTGTAGTTAAATTTGGAACCTGTAATGTCTCAGAAGAAGGTGGYAATATGGATGAAGTTCAGGAGACCTTAAAAGTCACTCCTGTTCTTCTTAAAAGTGATTGAAATTTCATATGTATTTTTTATTTCCCCAATTTCTAGTTAGTTACTCAGTATCCTCATTTGTACTAAGTTTCTTTACAGTTAATTGTGAAATGTTGATTTAGGATCATGCATCTCTTGATTCATATATTGAAGGCTCTTACTTTATATGAGTAAAGCATAGTGAGAGACTAAGCACTTCCTTCTCAAAGCTTCAGGTTGTAAATCATCCAAAGGTGGGTAGAGAAATGACCAGGTATGAAGGATTGATTGCAGGCAAAAGTGAAGTTACATCTAGCAGTTAAAACCTCTCCCCATGCATGCCCCTAAAAGAATTAATAATTAAAAGAATTATTAATTTAGTTTCAGAATGAGGAACCATGTGTTTTATGGTTGCCCCTGTGCTGATGGAGGTAGAGGTTGTGGGACGAGGATACCCRCAGGGTGCCATTGCTGTGCATGCACAGGGCAGCCGAGCTAAGGTTGCAGAGTGTCTGCACTTCCCAGGTTTCCTCACATCCCTGTGCTTGGTTTCACAATCCAAGTGACTCGTGCGGGTTTTGAACCAATTTTCTTCTCCACTGGGGAAACCAAGCCCTGCCTGCAAGGGTAGCAATGCTGTGCTCCACGACACAAGTAATCACTGACATTAATATTTTGGCCCAAGGCCTGCCCTGGAGAGCAAAGTCGTGGGTTTGTGTTAGGAGGATGAAGGGGGAGGCCTGAGAGGTGTGCGGAGACAGCACAGTGTGCCCCAAGGACAGCAGGGATGAGGTGCCAGGGCCAGAAAGTCTGGACTCTTCCTCCTCCTCCTGTGGCAGCGGAGTTCACTGCAAAGCCAGCTCTGCAGGCTCTTAAAAGTCTTGGCCCCGGTGCTGGTTGGTGGTGTYGGCCAGCTGCATGGAGGAAAAGGGAAGCAGCAGCTTCTCTGAACATGCTCTCCTGTGRGTGGGAATTCAGGGTTGCTGTTGTTTTTGCCAGGACTAGACTACGAACACTGTTTCACTGAAAGTGGAAAAGTTTACCTCCTTGGAGAAAAATGAGAGGTGTAGTTTTTGGTTTGTGTTCATAATGCCAGTTATGCTGTATAACACTCAATGAGATGCAGGGATGATTAGCCGTTTATAGTTGAGCTATTATGACAGCTGAAGTGTGTTTTACAGCATTCTACTAAAGGCTGTATTATACTGGCATATCCTTAGCTGTGGCAGTGCTACTTTGGGCCCCTATTGCCTGATAACCTCACAAAACTATGCCAAAAATGTGACATACATAAGAATGAAGAGTAGGGTGAGTCTGTAAACTGCCATGCTCTAAAATAACTTCTACTTGATCAGTTGATGATGAAATTTTTATGATCCAAGGTGTCTCATACTAATTTTAAATATTAAAGATGCATCAACTCTTCTATTAAAGTGTCTTCCTCCTTACTTTCAGRAATTGCCAGGTAACTGCAGAGGAAACTCTAAGATTCAATGAAATGCCATGCGCCTCTGTGCTTTCTGGAGACACCATGTCATGGATTGAAATGCAGGAATCTAAAAGCTATGATAATATGTATCGATAGGGCATGTCTTGTCAGTGCATTATCTGATGCCATGGCAGGGTTACCTCATTACRCATTTCACCATTTGGTCTTTCAAAATCATCAGTTTTTGTGGGATTGCATACCTTGGTGCTGTTGATACGCACGTTTGGAATTAGGCAGCATTACCATGTTGAATCAATAGTTTATCCTGGCAACTTAAAGGCACTGAATGAATCACAGTAGAAGGCATGCTGGTAGGCAGAACATTGCCCCTCCCTCAGGAAAAAAACCCTAGGTGTCTACACCCAGAAGTAAATCTTCAGAACAAATCCAATAAAATGCCTGCCCTGCATCTCTCATTCTGCTTCTAACCCAACAGCTGTGTTTAGAGAAATATGTTTAGTATTGGTTAACCTGTCTTTGGCTTTCCATTCGAGACATTCAGAAAATATTGCAAAATAGCAGCTGTAGTTCACAGAGAAAAGTGTATTTTCTTGGGAATGTTCRCCAGCAGTAGAAAGCACCCTGGAGAAGCTTGCACACATATCTCATTAATTTATTTATTTATTTTCCAAATTTCCTTGCAGCAATATGAAAAAGTCAAATTTATTCTTCCTGCCCTAACCAGCCAGTCTTACCACCTGAGGATTTTTGGGCTTGGGCACAGATGCAGCTCCCAAGGAGCAGAGAAGTAGGAATGCAATTGCTTTCWGTCTGATGCTCATCATAGTCCTCTCCTGTTCTCTTTCTCTGGATTTTTGTGGAGGAGGCTGCATCCATGTTTAACTAATGTCTTCCTTCTCCTTCCCAGTGCTGGTCAAGCTCCTGGAAAAGGGCTTGTTGCTGTCACCATAGTGTGGAAGAAATAGAGAAGTGTCAGGATGCAGTCGTGCTGTGCTGTGACTTGACTTTTTGGTATAATGAGATCAGCTCTGGTGGGTGCCAGGTGCCGGCACTGTTCACAGAGGCACTGTAGGCCTCAAGTAGTACTTGCACATGACTGCACAAGAAGCATTTTCCTGTTCAGATACTAAGGTTCAGATTGCCAACTCTTGCCTTATCACTGCACTCATCTCTAGTGTCATCCCCTCCCAACTTCTGTAGCCYTTTGAAGAAAATGTAGCAAAATTATTTTCCAGCTGATGTGGATAGTAACATTTATTAGTGCTTCCCTGTCTGCTTTTCCTGTAATTATAACACAGTGTTATTCCAGGAACCACGATTGTGAGCTGGTAGTTYAGGAGATCTCAAAAAGAGAAGGACAGGAAAGGTGTCAGACATGTATTGTTGATCTGCATGTAGGTTCAAGCTCTTTTTCCTTTTATTTCAGTCATAAAACATCTTTACATTTGACTGGAGCAGATTATTGCCATAATTTGCAGATTTTCTGCTATTTTTTTTAAAGCAAAAGCTATAACAGTTAGGTTGAGCTAACAAAACTTCTTTCTAAACAAACAAACAAGAAAACCTTTGCTCCTTCAGTATCAGTTTCAATTGAAATAAATACTAACAGCAAAGTTCAGTAATTCTTAGGCAAGAGGATGTGGGTCTAATTCTAACATAAGAGGCAGGAAAATGCTGCAGCAGATGACCAGTTTTTTTGACAGTAATGTAGTAGCTCTGTTGTGGTGGTTACTCTTTCTCTACCCAGAATTATGAAATTCCAGAAAAAAAAAATTTACTCAGGTCTTCTAGCTCAGTTTCACAGTAGAATGGGATATATTAAAACCCCTTTTAATTTTTGACAATCCAGTGGGCTTCTTGTAGGTCACACTTTTTGCAAATTTCATCTTTAAATTTGCAAATGTAATTAGTAAGGTAGGTTTCTTGRTACATTCACAGAAACACTGATTTCACATAGTTGAGTGTGGTCAAACTTGTGCTTTCTCATTGTATCTTTATCTTACTGCCTTTATCAGGTACTCATTAATGAGTGAAGGATCAAAAGGTGAGACGGTGGCCAAGAAGCAATGGAGAATAAAAGTTTAGAAGGTTCCCCATCAGACCTAAAGTTAGTGGCTCACCCGAGAGCAAAGAGTAAAGTGTGGAAGTACTTTGGGTTTGATACCAATGCGGAAGGATGCATATTACAGTGGAAGAAGATCTACTGCCGTATTTGCATGGCACAGATTGCCTATTCAGGAAACACGTCCAACCTTTCCTACCACCTTGAGAAAAATCACCCCGATGAATTCTGTGAGTTTGTGAAAAGTAACACTGAGCAAATGAGGGAAGCCTTTGCCACAGCATTTTCAAAAATCAAGCCAGAGTCATCGCAGCAGGTTGTTCAAGATAGCCTCATCATGAAGACCTACCAGAGCTACGAAAACAAAAAACATCAGGAACTGACATCTGCAGTAATCAGCTTAATTTGCGAGGGCATGTATCCAGCCTCCATCGTTGATGAACCTACGTTCAAGGCCCTCTTGAGAACAGCAGACCCCAGGTATGAACTTCCGAGCCGGAAGTATTTCTGTACAAAAGCGATTCCTGAAAAGTACAGTGCTATTAGAGAAATTGTACTGAAGGAGCTCACTGAAGTTCTGTGGTGTGGTATATCCACGGACATGTGGAGAAGCGAAAACCAGAACAGGTCTTATGTAACCGTGGCAGTTCACTTTCTCAGCAACAGTCCTGCCAATTGCCTGGTTGTGAACTCACGGTGTTTGAAAACGTTCGAGGTACCGGAGGATAACACTGCAGAGACCATTACACGAGTCCTTTATGAAACATTCATTGAGTGGGGGATCAATACGAAAGTCTTTGGTGCTACTACAGATTATAGTAAAGACATTGTGAAAGCTTGCTCTCTTCTAGATATCCCYGTACAGATGCCTTGTTTGGGGCACACTTTTAACGCAGGAATACAACAAGCTTTTCAGCTCCCCAAACTCTGCAACCTTCTTGCCAGGTGCCGAAAGCTAGTGGAGTATTTTCAGCAGTCTACGGTCGCAATGTACATGCTGAGCGAGAAGCAGAAACAGCAGAATATTCTCCACTGCATGCTGGTAAGCGACCGTGTTTCCTGGTGGGGAAGCACGCTYGCTATGCTGCAGCGCCTCAAGGAGCAGCAGTTTGTCATTGTGGCTGTTCTCGTAGAGGACAGTAACAACCACCACCTCATGCTGGAATCCAGTGAGTGGAATACAATCGAAGGGCTGGTGGAGCTGCTCCAGCCTTTCAAGCAGGTTGCAGAGATGATGTCTGCTTCAAAGTACCCAACGATAAGTATGGTGAAGCCACTTCTCCACATGCTTTTGAATACTACTCTGAACATCAAAGAGAAYGATTTGAAAGAAATCAGCATGGCAAAGGAGGTGATTGCTAAAGAGTTGTCATCCACCTACCAGCGCACACCTGAGATAGACATGTTTCTCAATGTTGCAACTTTCTTGGATCCCCGCTACAAGAAACTTCCTTTTCTTTCAGCCTTTGAGAGGCAGCAGGTGGAAAACAGAGTGGTGGAAGAAGCAAAAAGCCTGCTGGAGAAAGTAAAAGAAAATAGCTTTAGAACTGAGGAGAAATTCTTCACTGTTTCAGAAGAGCCCCCTATGAAAAAAATCATCATCTCCTCTACTCCTCCTCCTACCAGTGTCATCAACAACATGCTCGCAGAGATCTTTTGCCAGACGGGAGGCGTGGAAGACCAGGAGGAATGGCATGCTCAGATCGTTGAGGAGTTGAGCAACTTCAAGTCACAAAAGGTCCTTGGTTTGAACGAAGACCCRTTGAAATGGTGGTCTGACAGACTAGCTCTGTTTCCAGTTTTACCAAAGGTTCTTCAGAAATACTGGTGTATTCTGGCCACGAGGGTCTTCCCTGAACGTCTTTTTGGTTCTTCTGCTAATGTTGTGAGTGCAAAGAGAAACCGGTTAGCCCCGGCTCATGTGGATGAGCAGATCTTTTTGTACGAAAACAGTCGCAATGGGTCTGAGGCAGAACCAGAGGACGAAGATGAAGGAGAGTGGGGTTTGGAACAGGAACAGATTTTTAATTTAAATGACTCAGTAAACATAAACAACAATTTCTTTAATATTCGAGACAGTGGGTTTGTTTAACAGGACTGCTGCGGTACATTTAATAACAAAGAAAAAAAGGTATTTGTCTTAAGTTACCAAAAATTCTTCTGTTTATGCTATGAATGCTGTAAATATTGAACAGTTGTAACAAACTTGATTTAGCTTCCATTGTCTGTGTTTTTCCCAGYGTCTTAAAACATGAATTACTTGTGATTAAACAGCACTGAAATGAATGAGGAAATAAATTCTACAAAGACCGTCATTTCTGACTGTGGCCCAGATTCCAGAAAGCACTTACCCATGTGCTTCCTTTCCGCTTGCTTCAGTGGGAGACAAACACATGCTTATGTGCTTTCTATCATAAAATAATTTTCCTGAGTTAGGACCTTGAGGAAATTTTAAAATTTATGCCTGCATTTGTAAMTCCTGTGTGACTCAGGATGCTAGCTTTAAATTTTGGATTTTAAAACATTTTTAAAATCCATGAATCTGAGCATTGAATATTTTTAGAATATATTGTTGCTATGGAATGAAAAAAGATCTTGAGCCTGATCTTCACTACCTCATGTCTTAGGTCTGGTCTATGCTAGAAAAGTTCAGCTGGTATAATTCTGTTGGTAAGGGGACTGGTGTGTTATTTTAACTGATACTGTGCTGGCATAGGCTGGAGTGTGGATGCATTTATACCAGGATAATTTATTTTCCTTTCCAGTGCAGTGTAAATGGTATAAAGACTTTTAAACTGGTATTGCTCTGTCCACATTAGTCCAGTTTTACCATTTAAATGCCGCTAAATGGCAAAGTTAGGTTTTTGTTTGTTTTGCTTTGTGTCTAAGCAAGCCCTGATTGTAGTCTCTTGTGCTTTTGCAAAGTGGTAACCAAGTGTGGGATCAAAGCAGTGTTGCATTACCTTCACCTTGTACTGATGCCGTGGCTGGTGCCACATGGTGCTTAGCAGGCAAGGCATCAGCCCTTTGGTAAYGGAGGGAGGGAGAGAGGGCAGAGAGACATCTACAGGCCACGGGTCTAACGGTTTGTCTGTGTTACAAAATCCTTAACCTCTTAATTTAATGGGGACTTTGCCCCGGRTAGCTAGAAACATTTATTGGCAAGGAAAGCAAAATAAAAAGCTTTAATATTATGTAAATATATTTAAAAGAAGGGGACCACTCTATTTCCTCACGTGTATTTAGTGAGTCTTCAAAATTGTTTTTTATTATGTTAGCACTTAAAAACTCTTTTTTTTCTCTTTTTGATTCTGTTTGTAGAGTGGACTTTAGTCCCATCTAGTCTAATGTTTGAGTACTGTTTCTAATTAGCTGTGTATTGTAATTGCTCCCTTTGTGTCTCTAAGCRTGTTTTAAGCCCTTTTGAGAACTTGACAAACAAGAAAAAAGAAAGGAAACAAACCTGAGACCTTCCATCTCTTATGAAATACTACAGGTCATAAACATGATTAGAGTTCATGCTAGACACAAAGTAGGATGCACCAGCATTTTTCTCAGATGTGCAGTGGAGGACTCTTGGCATTTTCCAGTTATTTACAATCAAGGTTTGCTTGGGGTTTTATTTCTGTTTCTGGTGTCTCACCCACCCCCACCTCAGTGTTAGTCTACAACTATGTTGAGCAATATCTGTCTGTTACTGTTCTGGAGGAAGAAAGTTGGTGTTTTTTTCATCGTGGTGGCACTCAAGGACATTGTGTTTTAAAAAGGGYGCAGACAGCAGGAACATCAACAAATGAGAATGGCAGTGGAACTGAATCTATTGCCGAACTGTTTATGGTTTGGTTTAATACTTCTTGGAAGTTTGAGGCCTCTGTGTTCTTCATAGGTGGTGGGAATGGGTGGGTGRGTGAGGAGGGACAGCGGTTCCAATGAAGGAAGAGTGAATTAAGCAGTCACAAACTACCTGGCATGTTTGAGCCCAGGAAAAATGCAGTTAGCAGGTGGTGTGGCCTGTGTTGGCTTTTAGTAAGCCTGGGGTTTCACTTTCCAGCCCCTGGAAAACTGATTTGTACTTGTACAAAGTACACACACTGTGCATCCTGTTAAATGTTGCTATTCTCCATGTCCACTGAAGAGGTGTATGTGATTGCTTAAGGTGCAAAATGCAGGCTTGGCCTAAAATCCCACAGACATGTAGGCTCTGTGTGAGGACAGCAAAATCAAGGAATGGAGGGGAGCGAGATACCTGAGCTCCTGTGACACCCCCACAGTCTGCCTGGAAGACCTCTTGGTTTTTATGACCATCAGTTGCAGCAGCTGTTAGCACCACTGCAAGCCCTCCCTCCAGGAGCTGCACAAATGCTGGTGGGGAGAGCACCACTGCAAGCTCTCCCTCCAGGAGCTGCACAAATGCTGGTGGGGAGTGTGTGGATTTTGTCTTACATGAGCATAATGTAAAGCCATGCCCTCACAACCATGGCAGAGCCCAGAGCACTGCTCCCTTGCTCCTCACTTGGCCTACCCCTGTTGGCAGCATTGTTTCCATCTTCATCCTCCTAGTGCTGAACATAAACAGTGACGCTTACAAGCAGTTTTACTGAGATCAGTGCAATGCACTACTCTCTTCCTTCCAGCTTACTTTTATTTTTTGGTATCCAAAATAAAATTGTAGTTGGTTCAATTGATGTGTCTCAGCATTCTTATGAAAAAAATGAGAAGAAAAGAAAAAAAAAAAAGCAAAACCCAAAACCACTGTTAGTCTTATCCATTGTCTGTGAGATTTTTATTTAATGTTCTAAGCCTGGAATATTGTTAAATAAACCAGAAAAATAAGTTAGTTACTAGATTACTTGTCTGATGTGTGGTCATATCTGCAGCACTTTATGACTTTGAACTCTTCCGCAACAGGGGGAGGTTATATTCTAAGGATTTAAAGCTATGCATTTATTTTCCTTTTGATCCTGTAAGTTATTTTTTAAAAATGCTGTACAAATCTTTTGGATTAAAAAAATGAGGATGAAAAATGTTGGAAGTTTAGATGGTTTCTCTTGCTTAAATACGTGTGGTGTTTTTCATTTATTGACAAGATTTTCTGTTGTTCAGTTGGGTGGGGAAGGAAAATTGCAGAGCTGTTTTAAATACTGCTACAACTTGAGATAACCCTGGTGTTACTGCCAAGGGTGGGCCCAGAACACATGTCCTAATAATGCTATTCAGTCAATTTTATGTTTGTATTTCTTGMCAATTATATTGAATCCACAGCCTAATGTTTCCTTTTCTCTTCAGTACAGCTGAGACATCTTTTTGGAGGGGCAGTAGAGGAACGAACTTCAGCTTTTGAGGGCTTTCATGCTGAAAAAGTGAATTTTTATCAGGCTCTCAAAGTATGTACTCTGTGTCAAAAGAAGCATTKCCTTTTGTCACCAGCTAGGTGTTTCCAGTTCAGGATTCAAAGTCGTGGGCTAGGTGAGGTTTCTTGTGGTAACAACTAAAGGGAGTTTTGTGTTTCTGACCAACCCTTGCACGAATTTCATCTCCCTCTGCTCTCAGGGATTATGAGAAGAGAAAAGCCTGAACTGCACKGAAGTTGAAACAGTGGATTTCTCCAGCAAGCAATGTCTGAAATGTTTTGGTTTATATGAGGGCAATAAAGTTCTGTATTATTTATGCAAAGGGTGTATTGTTTTAAATTTCTATTGCAGCAGTCTGTTAGATTAATCTCAAGTCTTCTTTAATCAATGCTGTGGTGTCCTATTAGCTTTGATGGAGCATTTGTAAGCAGGCAGGGGTACTAAAAGCATAAGAAACACAAATTGGTTGTTTGTAATATTTTATAGGACTTCTGAAAAAGTAAAAGTGATATGTAGTTCTTGAGTTTTGTACTTTTTGTGTGACAACTTTAAAAGAAGGGGTTGCCTGAGAACTTAATTTCTGAAGGAAGGGAAGTGCATAGATATGAACACAGAAATATTGTATATATTCTATGACAACTGGGTAAAGGAAACTTTATGCTGGAAAAAAATACATTTTACACTCTGCACACCATACTCCTTTAGATAATCTCCATTTCTGAGTGTCCTGAAGATCTGGTGATCCCGGTTGTGGTGGTGCTATCTCGTCTAGACTATCCTTTTAGCTGTTCTGAGAGGACTCTCCTGGTCTCTTGTGGCTTTTTTTTTTTTTTTACTTTGAACAAGACTATACCATCTGTCTTGTCATATCTCTTCCAAGTTAATATTCTGCTAAATTCAAAACAGTTTTAGGGGGCGTGGGGAAATTATAGAAATTGGTTTTGCTTTTTTAATAACATTATTTGTGCTGTAGAGAGGGAAGAGCAGCTTCCCTCTTAAGGGTATGCTTAAAGATACAGCTTAATCTTATGTCTGTCTTAAGAGCGCATCAGTAAAGCATGTCTTAATGTTACTATTTAAACTACTTTCAAAACATCTCCAGTTGCAGTTTATAATGATGTCGTTTTTACAAACAAAAGGATTTCCTTTAGATTGAACAATAAAAATAAATTAGATGGACTTTTACTRCTGTTGCAGTCCCTTTCAGTGCCGCTGCAGTTGGGCTATAATGCCATAAGGGAATTGAGTTTAAAATTTAAAAAATTTGAAAAAAAATTAAAAATAAACCACAATGTTCTTTGAGCTTATCTTGTGTTTTAAAAACATAATTGGATTTATTTTTAAAAACTGGAAGGCTGTTGCAGCAACTATTTTCGAATGAGAGTTCCTCAGAACAATGAAGCATTAAAATATTAAGATTTTTGAGCATTTCTGTTGACATTTCCRCACGGAGGGGTATTGATTTCTCTTGCTTCCAAAAGATCACAAAAATGATGCTACATCTGCAGTGCTTTGCTATAGCGATAAGATTTATCTTTTTTTCAGAGATTTTGAGAAGGCTATTACCCGCTGCATATGTGTGCTGGTTTCCTTGCATCACAATTAGTACTTATTTCCAGTGACTTGAGTTTGCCAAATCCTGTGTCCTGTCTTCTCTCCCTGGCCCTGTCTGGCAGAATGCTTGGTGGAAGCAGTAGGGCAGAAAACTCCAGCTTGTTTTATAGAGACTTCTTTGAGAGCAGATAAAATTCAGTTTAAAGTGAGTTTAAACTAGGTTTTTACTCCAGTCCACTGGGGCTACAGCACCTGTGCCATGGTATGAAAATGCAGAGCCAGTGATTCCTCTCCCTGCAGTGATGTACATTGCACACATGGCTCAGCCATCAGGACCAAAATTGCCTGTGTAAGGGGAGCGTGCTGGGGAACGGAGCTCAGCACAGCTACGAAACTACACTCAGAGTCAAAGGCATAACAAGAATGTCGGGGTAGAAACACTATCTGTGCTACTATCCTTAGACAGGGGTTGAAGGTAAATACTGGAACAAGATACTGGTTTGTGCTCTGGGCTGAAGCTGTGCCTGGCATATTTTGTRATTATTCAGTAGTTAAGTGTTTACTACTGACATAGAGTGTTCGGTGACACTTAAAAAAACCATTTTATATAGACAGTAAAGCTATATATTTGATAGATACATTGGGGGTAGCATTTATAGTGGTTTTCCTGGAATAAATKCCATGGTCAGATGTACACCAACATTCAGCTAGCAGAAGTAGGGCAGTCCTGTTTGTAAGTATAACAGAGACAGGAGGGGTTACTTCATTTAAAATAAGTGAGAAATAYTGTCATTTTAGCACTCTAATGTAGAAGACTAATTAAAATGCATTTTAAAATGTTTGTGATAGCCTAATAATTTATCTAGATATATCTGTAGAGAATTAGCCCCTTTGTTTTACTTAAACTAAAAATATGACTGTTTGTCCATAGCTGCATGTGCATGATGTCATGTTCAACAGTGCTTCCCCAAACAATGCRGAATACGGTTATTTTTAAAAAGGCAGTTTCTCTGACTACATACAATCTTCTGTCTGTTCATTGTGCCCAAATACTTGCAGTTAGGAATGAAAAACTCATTTTTTATTTCTCCGGTGGTTACTGCTTTGGTTTTAAATTTGAGACATTTTGTGTATCATTCTGTCTTTACAGACACTGCAATTGAAACAGTTTCATTCTCCCTTTTTTTCTTTTTGGTATTTTTGTATGCTTTTTTTTTTTCTTTTTGGTGTTTTTGGATGCTTTCTTTCTCATGAGTCATCACTGAGGTTTACAGTGATAAGAATTTGCAATCCTAAYAAGGAAGATGTCAAGTCAGCATCAGGAGAGCTCATACCAGAAACATCCCATCCCATGTCACGAATGATGTGCTCCAAGGGAAACCTTCATCTTCTCAAACATGACTTTCTGATGTGTGTATGAGAGAAAAATAAAATGCTTTTGTAAGCAATGCACAGTTCTGTTTTATGGGTGATAGTGCAGTTTGGTGATTGTGCTCTGGAATGCACTCAGTGGTTTGGCACCAAATWAAAGTTTCTTGAGCACAGCAGAACTTATACGAACAGAAGGAATTTCATAACAATGAAATGTAAAAAATGCATTTGCTTTACTTTTGGGAACAGACAGGAAGTGAGTCCATCTAGGGAAAATACTTGAATTTTATCAGCAGTCTCCAATTCYTGACTGAAATCCTGATACCATGTAAAAAGGCTAAATCACTAACCTTCCTGTAGTCTGACATTTTAGAACTCTGTGTAACAATTGTTTTACACACTTTTTGGTGTTCACATGCTGCTAGCAATGAGCTCTGTTAGCTTAAAAAAACTGTGCTCCAAAATAGCCGGGGAGGAGGTTTCAGTAATGGTGTATTGGAAAAGAAGAGAGATTCAAGCTCTTACTGTGACCTGTCCTCTAGCCTGTGGGAACCTGGGCTGAGGGACTTTTTCTGGATGATATTTTAACGCATTGATCTACATAGATAAACATTCACATGCRGTCCAAGAACTTGCCACTGATTGTAAATCTGGCTGATCCCAAGGGAATGAGTGCTGTGGTGAGAAGGCCAGTCTTGTGGATAAGTGGAGCTGCCTGTGTGCAGCATGTATCTCATAGTTTCTCATTCTAAGCCCCAGTTTATTACCTGTGCAGACACTGAGTATGTCTGTGCTGTTTTTTTCTGTTTTATTTGCTATGTGCCTCTTGTATTCCCAGTGTAAGGATAGGAGAATGTGACCAGCGTGTTTTCAAGCCTTGGTGAAGGTACACAGAGGTTCACCTGCACTGTTCATGGATTGCTGCCTGGTTCCCATGAGCAGTGGGTTGAGGATGATAGAGCGTTCACCCTGTGGTCATGTGAATGCCAGACTGGCATTGTTGCTCGGAGATTGCCACTGCTCGGAGATTGCCGCATATCTGCTCAGAAAAACAAAGTGAGAAAAGCGCAACCTTGTGCCTGTTGTATCTT